TGAAATTCAAATTCTCCACTGCTTCGATTGCATTCCTTCCAACCTAGATCACTGTACCGCAGAGCCATCTCCTGGTGGTTCCTTTTAGGCTCAGAAAGGGTTTCGTGGACGGGACGAAGCCGTTGGAGGAGGGTTGCAGTGAGCTTTTTCACGGACCGAACGCAGTTAGGAGGAAGATTAGGTGGTGCCGTTGTTTAATGAGAACTCTTCATCAACTGTAGTTTAAGATTTCCAGACCACTGTAGAGTCCTTGAATCGGGGGTGGCTGATCAAAACGCCAATAGATATATAGCTCCGGAGTGTAGACTTCCTCAGAAAGACGTGCATTCACATCGAAAGCTGAGTGGCTATATTAGCTCTGGGGTCGCCACTTGTGCGCTCAAGACAAGTCAATGAGTGCATGACTTCATCGGTAATAGCTTCAAGCTTCTTTTAAATTATACTAGTATGGGGTCTCGATCACAACGGAATCGCTGGAAACTGCAAAGGTGGTGAGCTTACTAGAAGGCGCACCCTTTCCTCCGATTAGATTAGAGACTTTGATCTCTGCTGGCTTTCTGTCCAATAGGATTATATGCGGTGCTGTTAAGTATTTCGGCGGACGCTCTTTGTGTCTATCACTTTCTTATTCTATTATATGACGCTCTTTCTATTGCTTTAATAATATGTTTTTCACAATAAACTCTTATTTTATAATCGCTCCTAATGCTCTAAATTTCGTAGGCAAAAATATTACTCATGTGACATGTTATAGACTTGCATTTTGTCGGACAGATTATGCAAACCTAACAGCCTGATGAAAAGCCTAACATGCCATTTTCTTTTTAAATGAATATTTCATTAAAATTTGGATGACTAAGTACTGTGCCAAGCGATATTTTATGCGCATATGTATTATATGTGTGTGTGAATAAATGGTGAATTCACTCCATTCTTGAAGCTCAAATACCTGCCAACATTATTCGTTGCAAATCAACAGCACAGAGTGTTGATGTTTCATATGCGTATTAAGTAAAAGCAATACAGAGGCAACGAAGTGCAAATCGAWTCAATGAGAATTGCAAAAAGTGTCTTAATGCCACTTAAGAGCACACACAAGCGGATACTTTAGCGCTCACAACCATATTCAGGTATATACGTAGACGTGTAGGTCCTCACAGTGNTATTAACTGAAGTTTTTTGTTGCGAATATAAAATTATAACAAATATGAATTAATGAAATTAAGGCTGCAGTGAAAGTAATTATATTATTTAAATTGATTGCTTTTATACTAATTAATTTCATAAAAAAAGAATACTATTATATAAACTGTTGAAAGTGATTAACAAATATAATAATTTCACATTATTTTATATATCAATATTCTTATTTATAAGTGCAAGTTATTTAATGAAAATTAAGTTTATTTATTTTTCTTGATACTTTCGTTTCAGAAACACTTACGGAATCGATTCCCTTATCCTTGCCCGGGCATATGAACGTCACATACTCGTGACAGCGCTTGTGCACCACATAGGAACAAACTGTAAATGAGAGCAGAGAAGAAGAAAAATTATAGCATTAAAAAGTTCAGTGAAACGACATAAAAAGTTAGTGATACTCAAAAAGTTGAAAATGTCGCCTTGCTTCCTGTCCTTCACCAGTATTAAAATGTGGACAAAAGTTGTGCCACAAGCGTTTGTAACACGAAGACAGCCTGTTGCTGTGACGAGTCCTCACCTGCACAAGGAACTACTAACGCTTTTTAAGTGTATATGTTTGTTGTGTACGTATGTATATGTGTGTATTGTTTAGAAAGTTACCGCGTCCAGTATGCATGTATGTGTTCGTATATTTCTAAGATATAACAGTAATCATAAGTACCTTATAGGAAAAGCTCGTGCATGCATTGCTTTAGACTGTCATTGGTAGTTGTGGGAAAGTTTAAGTGATATCTTTCTAAACCAATACTAGCATTAACTATAAGCATGTACAACATTATATGTGTCTTGCGTTTTTTTCTTGCTGTTTATGTTGCCCTCGACACGACTTCTGGTAGTCATTGAGGCAGAACATTTTGCAATAAATGTTTTGAACTCACCTTGACATTGAAATCCTTGTTTGCCAAAGCCCCTGTAGTGAGAGGGGGAGAGAAAGAAAATATATATTAAAACATCTTTGTTCGTTAATTATTCTACAAAACAAAATATAAGTTCTAAATGAAACTTATAAAACTTCTTATATTACTTTTTTGTTTAATATTTATAATATTAGTATTCCTAACTTATAACTAACAAATATTTATTCTGTTAATTGACACATTCAAATCAATTATTTAAACTGAGTATATTTATACACAGACTTTTAAAATTTACTAATAAAAAAAAACATGTAAGGCGGGATTAAGTTCGAGTTTAACCGAACACTTTACACTCTTGCAGTTATCAATGATCAAAGAATGGGATATTTCTTCAAGTGCTATCAAAACTCTATATTAATATCGATAATATTTTATCTAGTTTTGTCGATACCATATACTGCTATCATGTCACATACTAAAAATATTTCACAAGTTCCTACCATATCATCACTAATCATAAGCAGTAAAGACAGCTGGATGTTCGAAAATTTTGATATTAGCTATGGTGTCATCCAAATGGTTGCTTTTATCTATGCGAACTGCATTAGACTGTGTTACATCCCAGGGGCCTGGAGCCGAGTCAGAGTCACGTTCATCTCGAAGGCTGGCAGACACTCCCACGTTACGGTCGAGTTCTCAGGCCCATCAGCCTCTCGTCTCCTTACTAAGAACTTTGGAAACATAAGAAGCCGTATTCCGAGGGACCTTCTTTCTCATCTTAGGTAGGCCGCATTCATGGAAACAGCGTATCTAAGAGAGAGTATAAAATGCATCGATTGCCTTACACTGCTGTAGAGAAGATATTGGCAAAAGGTGGGATCTCTCACCGAAAGTAGTCTTGTGGCTCTATGACGCCTTAGTCAAGTCTATTATGTTGTATGGAGTCTTTATGTGATGCAGTGTTCTAGAAAAGGGCATACTTGCAAAGAAACCCGAGAGCGTTCAAAGGGAGGCGCTCATCAGCACGGGTAGTGAACTAAGCTCCACTCCAATCATTGGCACCATCCGGATTCGGAATACGGATGTCTGAATACTCGCAACTCCTCACCTACTTTGACTCTTACCAAATCACTTAAATCAAGGAGTCGCCAAACCGAACTCTGACGGCTCCTTCTTTACCCTTATAATAGTCGACGGGAAAAACCCATTAGAGAGATGGGCTTCTTCACGGCTGGGCTAAAGCTTGGGGGGAAGGTTGGTTGAGGGGTCTATAACTCCAGTACTTTCTTGACTATTGCAGTTTTTTTAAGGCCGAGATTGCAGCCATTGAGGTAGCAGTAGATTTACTGCTCCGGAGTGCAGCCTTCTTCAGAAAAGTAACATTAGCGTTCAGGGCAAAAGTTCAAGTAGTGACTAACGTCGCTATCAATAGCAGCGGAATCGCAGGAAACTTCAATTCAATTTGAATTCATTTTTCAATTCATTTTTCAATTCTTCATTTGGTTCTATCAATTCGGGGATTGAGTTAAAAATCATTTTAAACTCTCTACGTCCGAAACTTTGGCAGAGATTCTAGTAGTTGTATTTAGAAGTACAAAGTTCTCAATTTCAGTAGTCACAATACCTTAGAAAATTATTTACTTCTATTTCAGGGTCCTACTGTTTATGAAAATTTAAATAAATTACGTAATATTCTCAAATCAAACCGGTTTAAGTTAACCTAAAAAAACTTTTTGTATATTCTTTACTTCAATTATATGAGCTATTTTCCTTTTTACCATCAAAGTGATAAGGGATAACGGTAAAGTGAGTTACACATGCACATATTTTATATGATTAACACAGAATTAAGTTTACTTTATCATTACGGTAGCCAAAAGCGAAGTAACTGCCGACCACCATGGCAAGGACGCTGTAGACCAAGCGCGCTCATTTATTCGAGTAGCCACATAAGAATACATTTGCGCCGGTAAGCAGGTGTCAGTTGGTGGCTAATAAATATAAATATTTCTCAATTCTTGGGCTTCAAAATGGAGGTGTAAGAAGGTGCAATAATAAAAATAAAGGTCAAGTGACATAAACATATTTTTTTAAGAAAATTATAATACATTAAGTAAGCCAAAACTTTAAAAGCTAACGGTCATTGGCACTAACAATTTAGTAAGTTAA